GACAGTGTGGAACATGTCTCCTCTATGCTTTCACTGTTTTTCTCTATAGCCTTACAGGTCATCTAAACATGTCAGCCATGTCTGAGAAAAAGAAAAAAAATTCTACACACTCTGCTGTGTGAGATAGTGAGAGAGAGAGAGCTCTGTTCTGTCAATATGGGGTGCTGTGTGTACATTAATGAGGAAAAAAAATTAACTTAAATGATTTTAGCAAATGGCTGCAATATAACAAAGAGTGAAAAATTTAAGGGGGTCTGAATACTTTCCGTACCCACTGTATATGTGTGTGTTTGCCAAGCTAACAATCAGCAGTGCCTCATAAAAGGATTAGTGACCTCCACAAAGAGAACATGGCTCTTCAAAGCTTCTGCAGGGCTACAATAGCACTGACATTTGTCCTGCTCAGTGCAGGGATGGGGTGTGGTGGGACATCATTGCCACAGAGCACACTGACAGAGATGGGTGGACAGGGGCACGGCACAGGGCTGGTCCTCTCTTTCACAGCCTGACTCTGGCCCCTTTGGCAGCCCACTCTGGTCTTAATGTCCTCCTCCGGCCCTGTCCATTCATGCAGAAGGCTGCTGATGACTCCATTGGCTGGTTTTCTCTAAAAGGTTTAGCCCTGTCTGTCCTCCCTCTCTGCATCAATGGCGAGTCAGAAAGATAGATTAGATTTGCCTTTGATTCCACTGTGTTTCATCGCTTTCCCCCATCCAAATTGGTATTTAACAAAGCATTCCTCACAGTGAGTGGTACAGCTATGTAGCTCTGTCATTGATGTAGAGGGAGAATGGTACTTGGAGATATAATGGGTTAGTGGTGGCTAATAGACTGAATTGCCATTTATTTGGAAAGTGTCAATGGTGCTGAATTTCCCACAGATGCTGCAGTTCTGCCTTGCTCAAAAGGACAGGTTAAGAATGTATTTATGCACACTGATGATATTATCCCACTCAACCTACCAATCCCCCTAATATATATACAATGTATTATCTGTGTGTGAATTAACAAAGTCTGTTCATAAAACTTTTAATATTTGCAGTGCCACCATTTTTTTTTTGAGCAAATAGCAAATTGGAAACTTCAAGACCTAATTATCCATAACTATTGTTAAATCCAATGAAAATAATTGCCATTTTCAGTGGCTATAAATGGCCATTTCTTGCTTTCTTCTTATAGTTTATTATTATTATTATTATTGTTATTACTATTATTATTTCTTTATTACATGTAAATAAAATGTTAACAATTTGTGTTTTATTATTATTATTATGAAGTTAACTGTGCGCTCACAATCGTCTGATGTTTCTAGCTCGGTAGCAATTGCTGCTAACCCTCTTGTTTATCAGCGGAAAAATGGGCTCCCGTTTTTAACATTGCTGGAAGCGTTGGAATAAAAAGAGGAGTCACTGTTGATTATTGCTCATTAGCCGCAAGGACATCCACTTAACTCTGAATAAATGAGTGACACTAACAGCCCCAGTTCGGAATGTCCTCCACGTATCTGAGCAAAATGTTCATTAATGCTCTCCATTTGCTAAGTTGAGAAAGAAAGCGGTTGGACACGTATGGCGACATCGGTATCGGTGATTACTTTGTTTCTGGCGAGGCACTTTAATCCTTAATTTCATGCGATGATCAGAGACACCGTGAAGCCCAGTGTCATCCTTTCAGGAGCATTTCAAATGGATTTTAATGATCAAGAGTGGCTCAGGTCCCTCAGCGCCTAATATGCGCAGAATACACACTAAGCATGCATCAATATTTATGACAGCCCTGAACTGGCTCGTCACTGGTAAAGGCGCGTGATTTCTGCTGAAAAATGTGTATGATAAAGTCTCTATCGTCGACCTAACGCTGATTCTATTATAGTTCGCGAATGAAAGACAGTGTATGTAGGCCACATAAAAGTAGTTTGTGAGCGTTGTAACACGAGTTGTTGAGTTGTAACACCATCAGCAAATTAGAAATTAGCTATAGGGAAGTACTTCCTATCATACATGACCACCATCCACCTGGTGTGAATGCAAAATAAGTCTCTGTGTAGAAACATTAAAATTATATTAGTAATATGTGTGTGTGTGTGTGTGTGTGTGTGTATTTATATATACTGGGAGTAAACAGTACTCTATGTATCTTACTCTTATTTACACATATCTGTATAAGGCCTACATTTCTGAACTATTTTAATTAGAAGAAGATAAATGTGTGGATAATATCTCAAAGTTAAAGACAGCGAAAAATGTCAATGTTTACTGGGAGTAAACAGCACTCTGTGTATTTTACTCTAATTTACACATATTTGAGTACGTATAGGCCTATATTTCTACACTATTTTAATTAGAAGAAGATAAATGTGTGGATAATATATCAAGCTTAAAGACACATAGCGGGTAAAAAGACAAATGATTTACAGCTGTTTGAACAAAGTGTGTTAAACATTCTCCCGACGTCTTTGTAATGAAAGAGTTTGGCTAGGAATAAGGACCAAATCTAATGTATAATTTAATGATAGCCTAATATTATAACGATTTTAGATTTTTGTAGTTGTTCTTTCATAGCAGTCCGTGTAGCTTCCTCGGTCTGTTGAAGTGCAAAATGCACGCAAGTCTATGCAAGCCTGTTTGCTACTGGCCTCGCGCTCTCCCTCTTGACCTGCGCGGTGCGCGTGAGAGGGTCAGCACTGATTGGAGAATGCTGGTCACTCTCGCGCTGTGCCACTTTCTGCGCTCTAGCTGGTGGCGCTCTTCCGAGAGAGAGCCAGAACGATGATTACATCAATCAGTGTCGCCTACGTCACACAGCGTTTTATGAATAATCATAGCCAGCTCTTTCTTTGAAGGAACGGAATTTCGGAGAGATAGAATAGGGCTATATACCATATATTTAAAAAAGCGCGAACAGCGGGCAAGATGAATACTTTTTTATTAGCCCCGGACGGAGCTTTTATTTCTCGCTGTGTCTCTGGGTTATTATGGGCTGGAATGCATTGTAGTTCCAAAAGAGAGGCAGTGGCATAATTAATTACAATTTGCTGTATAGGCCTACAGACCGACATACCAGTTGCCCATTTGTGCTCCGTGTCAGTAAATCATTGGGCTACACTTTGCGATAATTGTATTTACTTTAATCATTCTTAAACTTAAATGGCTAGGAATAAGGACCAAATCTAATGTATAATTTAATGATAGCCTAATATTATAACGATTTTAGATTTTTGTAGTTGTTCTTTCATAGCAGTCCGTGTAGCTTCCTCGGTCTGTTGAAGTGCAAAATGCACGCAAGTCTATGCAAGCCTGTTTGCTACTGGCCTCGCGCTCTCCCTCTTGACCTGCGCGGTGCGCGTGAGAGGGTCAGCACTGATTGGAGAATGCTGGTCACTCTCGCGCTGTGCCACTTTCTGCGCTCTAGCTGGTGGCGCTCTTCCGAGAGAGAGCCAGAACGATGATTACATCAATCAGTGTCGCCTACGTCACACAGCGTTTTATGAATAATCATAGCCAGCTCTTTCTTTGAAGGAACGGAATTTCGGAGAGATAGAATAGGGCTATATACCATATATTTAAAAAAGCGCGAACAGCGGGCAAGATGAATACTTTTTTATTAGCCCCGGACGGAGCTTTTATTTCTCGCTGTGTCTCTGGGTTATTGTGGGCTGGAATGCATTGTAGTTCCAAAAGAGAGGCAGTGGCATAATTAATTACAATTTTGCTGTATAGGCCTACAGACCGACATACCAGTTGCCCATTTGTGCTCCGTGTCAGTAAATCATTGGGCTACACTTTGCGATAATTGTATTTACTTTAATCATTCTTAAACTTAAAAAAATAATAATTTTATGTCTTAGAGTTGTGTGTGATTGTTTACCGCGATCTGTACATTTTAAACATTATTTTAATGCAGGTATTGCCATTCAAAACGGTTTTATATTTTAATATTGATTCTTGAAAATGTTCTATTCTTTTTCAATTATTAGATTTTTTCTGTCTTAGAGACTCTGAAATTAAAATTGACATTTAAACCTATGCTGATAATTTATTTTTCATTATTTTTTTCATTATTTATTATTTATTTCGCTGTGCGGAATACGGTCTTCAGTTTCGATGATGTAATTGTGTATGAACTGTGTCAAAATATTCCTCCAGGCATTTTTCTCATTGGGAAATCGCAAGCCTTACGTTGCTTAACACTCTGCTTATAAGCTCCCAGCAAATCTCACAAAAAGAACAAATGATCCCAAAAATGCCCATGGTCAACTTTCTCGAATAAATGACATAAATTAAAGATTATGATCTAAATGGCTCAGTCCATGTCAAGGCCGCTCAGAGTGGACTGTAGAGGGAGCTCCAACTCTAAATTTCTCCAAACTTTGGAAACCGTGAAACAAAGCTGCTGCCTTGCAAATCATCTTCAAGAGGGAAAACACACATAAATAAATAATTTCGCACAGTATCGAAGGCATATGGCAAGCAGCACAACATCAATGTCTGATTAGAATTCATTACATTTTTAAAAAGCAGAATCTCGAAAAATATAAATAGCCGAGATTACATTAACCATCTGTACATAGAGAAGCATTTAACTTTTTTTTGTGTGACTTTTCCTCTTCAAATAAGAAAATATTCAATTCTCATTACAGTGAAATTGAGTTGTATGCTATTTCAACCCAATATAAATGAAATAATTATTAATTTCATATTGGCTGTTCCGCCTCGGTGGGGATAATCCCCTTCCATTAATATCCAAATGCGCGATTCAAGAAGGAGCTAATTACAGTTAAGTCCCCGAAATAGGAAAATACTTCAAATCCTCCGTTTCAACCCTCATAACCTCGAGTTAACGTTTCCCATTCCATTCAAAACACACACTGTAACCATTTCCGCACAGAAAAGCATGACATTTCTAATATCATTTACAATATTAACACTCCATTGTTTTTTGTTGTTGTTGTTGTTGTTTGTTTTTTGTTTTTTTAAGGAAAAGTGACGGTAAAGTTGCAGCGGTTCATTTATTAGCCAAAATATAGACTTTCTTGTACAATTTCGGATCACAAGTATATACATTTTCTTTACGTTATATACAAAACATTTCAACATCAAATCTTCACAGAGCTTACAAAAGAAAATGAGACTCACAGACTATTGGCCTGACAGCATTGACATCAGCCATTGTACACAGGACATGCTTACAATGTAAGTATACAGAAGTGAGTTCTTTTTATTTTACATTCCTTACACAGGTTAAAATGAGAAGTAAACAAAAAAGAGAGAAAAGCCTACGAGGAAGAGAGGGCGGATAATACCATGGCAGCTTCGAGTTGGTTCTGGGGCCTATATTGGGACATAGAAGGGAAGCATGAAAAACACGGGGCCAATACAAAACTAAATCTGCAAGCAGTAGGCCTATAGAACGACGTTTTGAAATCAACATTCTGAAATATCCCATCGACGCACTGGAGATTTATTGGTTTGACATTATGGATTTATTATTGCACAAGCACAATATATAAATCATGTTTAAACAACGGTATACCAAGTGCCCGAGTGCGTGACTAGACAGTCATGCATGATCATTATGTGATATTCAAATGTAAAAATTAACAAGTAACAATTAAAAAAAAAATAAAAAAGTAACACGCTAAATTAAAGTCGTGGACAGGCAGTGTAAGATCTCCGCTCTTACCGTCTTTGATGGAAGGCTGTTTTTAACAACTTTTTCTCTGCTTCCAAGGCACTAGATCTTTCTGAAACAATAAAACGAGTAACAACAACAAAAAAAGAAAAAAATTATGTAAATGCCAATTTAATATTAGTAGTAGTAGTAGTAGTAGTATTTTAAAAAGCAGAGTCTATGTAAAAAGATCTTACAGCCAGTTGTTGAGGAAAAAAAAAAGTTTGCGGCCTAGAAATTTCAAAATTCGCACACACTATCACACCCTTTAAAAGGCAACTCGAAGCCTTTTCCCATATATTCAATTGGACAAACTTTTGAGTATTTGAAAAAAAAAAAAGACGAATAAAAATAATAATAAGTACCCTCCACTAGACATTTGCATTTCAAGCGTAATTATTTTTACTTGAATGTTTCACAGTAGTGATCAAACGGAAATGGATTCAGAGAGGAATAAGAATGGTGCGTTTCCAGTCTGTCAGTACAGTCTTAATGGTGTCAATAAAAAGCATTAATTACGCATCTCTGCGCTTCTCAGTGTGGGTGACATGTACCTGTGACTGTGGACTCGGAGTTTTGACTCCTGTCCTCTGCTTGTCTGCTGTACAGGGCAAGGCCATTCGCCGAAGCCTGGTTACTGAGTCCTAAGTAGTGGTTTGAGTTCAGCAAGGCGAGCTGGTGTGCGGTGAAACCCCGATTTGTCCAGCTCTGGATTTTCCCTACGGGACACGAAAGGAGTCTGTGAGGAGTGATGATGGTCTGAGCGGCGGACGCAGCGGAAGTCCCGTTCATCAGAGGAGATTTTCGTGGATTGTCTGGAGTTGTGGCAGTCTCTGCCAAAGACCAGATCTTAGGTTTTGGAGCCGGAGGTGGGTTGTTTTCTGAGGGCGGAGAATTGATGATGGCCTGGTTGAGTTTGACCGGCTCGCTGTTGGCCTGCTCTAAGCTGTTGTGGTGGTGGTGGTGATGATGAAGATTGTGATGGTGAAAGTGCTCTGTGCGGTCGCCGTGAATCTCTTTGCCGTCTTTCACCATCGCTTTGAACAACCTTTGCTCCGGTCCTTGTAAATCCTCATAGCCGTCTGAAATTTCAGAGTCGCTCCTGCTGTCCAGTTTCAAATCAGAATGCAATTCGTCCTGCTCGTCTAAATCGTCCTTATTCTCAATATTCTCCGTGTCGATATTTTCCAAATCGATTTCCTCCTCATCCTCGCGTTTGTCGCCGTCCTCTCCCTCGTGATCGCTGTTGTAAACATTTCCTTCTTCGTCCGTGCGACTCCGTGGGGCCCAGGTCATCTTGTTCTCCTTCTTTAGCCTCCTCCTGGCGTTGGCGAACCAGGTGGACACTTGAGTGAGGGTCATTTTAGTGATAATGGCCAGCATAATCTTCTCTCCTTTGGTGGGGTACGGGTTTTTCCGGTGCTCACCTAACCAGGCCTTGAGTGTGCTGGTGCTCTCCCTGGTGGCATTTTTGGGTCTGGAAGGGTCTCCGAACTGGTACTGACCATATGGGTAAAACGCAGGATGATGGTGGGCAAATCCAGGATGCTGGACGCCCGGACTGTCCTTCAGTTCGTACTGTGCCCCCTTATAAACACAGAACACGGATCCAACATTAACGTGATTCAGTATTATTATTCTTGGCCTGGCATATAGGAGTTTTTTTTTTGTTTTTTTTGTACTCAGTTGCAGTTCCCTGGTGTATTGCTGAATATATGAATTGCGTATGATTTTCAGTCTGTGTGAGCACTTACAAAAGCAAGGAAGGACTGATTTTTAAAATTGTGTTATTATTATTGTTTTAAATAGGCCTTATTGACTGCATTGCAATCTTTAGTAGCGTGCACTTTATATACTTAAATAAATTGTTCCAAATAAATTGACACGATGCAGCCATATATATTTGTTTATTTTGTGTATGAGTCTTTCATATTGTTTTCTTCCTTAATACATGGTAACAATTATTTAACGATTTTTATTTATTGTAATTGCAATCACAAGCACAATACACTTATTATTATTATTATTATTATTATTATTATTATTATTATTATTATTTATTGTTTTTTTTTTCTTTTACTTTTTCAACTTCTTTTGTATTTACCAAATGGAGTAAACAGCAAATTTCTCCACCGTTTTGCAAAACTAGCATTCAATATTGATTGGTATTGAACCATAAACTGAAGTAAAGGATTTTGTAACACACAAGTATTTTTTTTTAAAGTTTACTACATATGAGTTTGAGAGAGAAAGAGAAAACAGCACAAAAAATAAAATGATTACTCACCAGCTGGTTGAAAATGGACAGATCATTTGAATAAGGAAGAAAAGCTCCATAGCTTTGTGCGGCAGCGAAAGGTGATCCGTACATACTGGAGAGAACATTAGAGAGCGCTCCGGACGGGCTCAGGTCTGCCCCGGCTCGGGCACTGCCTATCCCCTGCCTGTCCTGCGGGTATATGGGTCGGATGTACTGATATCCCAACTGTGGGAAAGACATTGTTGTGGAGAAAGTCTACTGGAGTCACAAAAAGCGGCGAATCGCCCTCTTGGTGCGCACCACGATATCCACTTTACAGTGAGTACAAAGTGTCAGGGAAGTCTATATTTCCTCCGAAAGAGCCAGTGTAAACGATCCGATTGCGCTTTCCTCCCTTACTTCCCTATTGATCTGAATGGACTAAGGTCAGGTCCTTACAGATTGCTTTAGATTATTGGAACTCCTTTTTGTGATTGACATTTTTAGTCGTTCAGAAGCTCCTCCTATTTCTCAAGTCTCACCCCCACTTACAGAGCCTCTCTCTCTCTCCCTCCCTCTCTCCCCCTCTCTCTATCCGCTCCTGCTCTCCGTCTGGATAAATCCTCTGACGTCGCCCTTTCTTATTTGAATGAGTTTAAAATCTCATTTTATGGCTCGCCAATCACTTCATTTGTTATTTGTTCGCCGCTTCAGCCCTTTCCAATTTCTTGTGTTACTTCTCAAAATTTTCGATCATCCACAAAATGGTAAATATTTTATTCTTAAGTCATTAACTTCCCGCAGATCTTTTGTGTCTTTATTTTACTCGCGTCTCCTCCACGTGAAACGAAGAACTTTAAAGTTTAAATCGGAGAGCACATACAGAATGTCGTGCTTACTCTTACAAAATACAAAAGGAATTTTTTTTTATGCGAAGAGCGTTTTTAATGCATCTAAAACGGAACAAACCAATCGGGGTCTTCTGACGCCTTTACTGAAACATCAAAACACTGGCGTGTTACCGTTCGCCTTCAGAGTAAGTTGACGAAAAAAAAAAGAAAAGCCTTAACAATAGCACCATTTCGTAATGTGACTAGGCTATATGCCGTATATTGTGGGTTTCTGCAAATTACAATTTAGTGCGTTTTAATTTTTGAACTATTGAAAATTATTATTATTATTATTA